CCATCTGGACAGCCACCCGCGCAGAAATGACCCAGACAAAGTGATCAGCAAGATGAATCAAGTGAATCGACCGAATCGAACAGACGCATCAGATGAGCAGCCGAGTGACCCCGATGATTGAATGCACGAATTGAGTAATCGAATCAAACAGATCGATCAGACTGTCCAGATGAGCAACCTGAATGAGACAGATGAATCATCCAACTTGATCACAACCAATCAAATCACAATCGATCAAACAAAATGACCAGCAGGACGAACAATTGAATCAAATGATTTGAACAAATGGTTCAGACGAATAACCGAGTGACATCGACATGTATTTTTAAATTCAAAAGCTCCCAGTCTCTAATTTTCTGGTTCTTAAATTTGGAGAAACCTACTTGGTTTTCTGCAGCTGAGGCCGTGCCCCGGATCGAACCACACAAACTTTATACTATATAAGTAAGAACTTGGCTTACCTATTAAAAGCGGCCGCTTTTGTTTGTATGGTCCGTCCAAACCGTTTCATAACTGCAGATGTACACCGTCTCTGGCCCCTGTTTTCAATTCCTGGCAAAGCTCGCCAAATATGTCGTAGAAATATTTGACTCAAAAGTAGTCAACTCAAAAATATCTCTCAAGAAACTGGAGCCTGTGAATCCAAAAATTAGACTTGTATTATCTAATAACGAAAGCCGAGCAGTTCCATGGAACGGCTGCCTTCCTTTGGCTTAGAGCTCCTTTTTATACACACACAAATGCACAAACATACTTCCATGGCATATTCAGTTACCCCCTTATGGCAAATTCCTATCTTATTTTAGTTCTGCACCACCCTTCTTTTCCAACGTCCAGCTATCACACAATGTCCACTCCAAAAGGTCATGAATGCTTTTTTCTATATGATGCCTCTCATTCTATCATTCTATTGGCTGCGTGGCCTAGGCCCCTTCTTAAAAAAGAACTAATGTAATGCATACAATGTGTCCATAATAAGCCCATGGGCCACAGTTTGAGAGCCCCTGTGACAGAGCACATTCATTTAAACATAGTCATATACCACAAGGCTCATTAAAGCATGCATCTGGATTATAAAATATCAAACATGTTTATTATATTTTACCTTTGGCATCTCCCTACATTTGCCTTAATGATACATAAAATAATTCTATACAAGCCGAAGAACACCATCGAACCGTGAAGCACAGGGGTGGCAGCATCATGCTGTGGGGGTGCTTTGCTGCAGGAGGGACTGGTGCACGTCACAAAATAGATGGCATCATGAGGAAGGAAAATTATGTGGATATATTGAAGCAACATCTCAAGACATCAGTCAGGAAGTTAAAGCTTGGTCGCAAATGGGTCTTCCAAATGGACAATGACCCCAAGCATACTTCCAAAGTTGTGGCAAAATGGCTTAAGGACAACAAAGTCAAGGTATTGGAGTGGCCATCACAAAGCCCTGACCTCAATCCTATAGAACATTTGTGGGCAGAACTGAAAAAAGCGTGTACGAGCAAGGAGGCCTACAAAACCTGACTCAGTTACACCAGCTCTGTCAGGAGGAATGGGCCAAAATTCACCCAACTTATTGTGGGAAGCTTGTGGAAAGCTACCCGAAACGTTTGACCCAAGTTAAACAATTTAAAGGCAATGCTACCAAATACTAATTGAGTGTATGACCCACTGGGAATGTGATGAAAGAAATAAAAGCTGAAATAAATAATTCTCTCTACTATTATTCTGACATTTCAATCTTAAAAATAAGTGGTGATCCTAACTGACCTAAGACAGGGAATTTTTACTAGGATTAAATGTAAGGAATTCTCAAAAACTGAGTTTAAATGTATTTGGCTAAGATGTATGTAAACTTCCGACTTCAACTGTAGGTATTCAAATCAAATCAAATCAAATTTCATTGGCCACATGTGCCGAATACAACAGGTGCAGACATTACAGTGAAATGCTTACATACAGCCCTTAACCAACAGTGCATTTATTAAATAAAAAAAGTTGAATAAAACAACAAAAAAGTGTTGAGAAAAAAAGAGCAGAAGTAAAATAAAATAACAGTAGGGAGGCTATATATACAGGGGGGGTACCGGTGCAGAGTCAATGTGCGGGGGCACCGGCTAGTTGAGGTAGTTTAAGTAATATGTACATGTGGGTAGAGTTAAAGTGACTATGCATAAATAATTGACAGAGTAGCAGCAGCGTAAAAAGATGGGGTGGGGGGGGCAGTGCAAAAAGTCTGGGTATCCATGATTAGCTGTTCAGGAGTCTTATGGCTTGGGGGTAGAAGCTGTTGAGAAGTCTTTTCGACCTAGACTTGGCACTCTGGTACCGCTTACCGTGCCGTAGCAGAGAGAACAGTCTATGACTAGGGTGGCTGGAGTCTTTGACAATTTTGAGGGCCTTCCTCTGACACCGCCTGGTAGAGAGGTCCTGGATGGCAGGAAGCTTGGCCCCAGTGATGTACTGGGCCGTACGCACTACCCTCTGTAGTGCCTTGCGGTCGGAGGCCAAGCAGTTGCCATACCAGGCGGTGATGCAACCAGTCAGGATGCTCTCGATGGTGCAGCTGTAGAACTTTTTGAGGATCTGAGGACCCATGCCAAATCTTTTCAGTCTACTGAGGGGGAATAGGCTTTGTCGTGCCCTCTTCACGACTCTTGGTGTGTTTGGACCATGATAGTTCGTTGGTGAGAGCTTCAAGGAACTTGAAGCTCTCAACCTGTTCAACTACAGCCCCGTCGATGAGAATGAGGGCGTGCTCAGTCCTCTTTGTTTTCCTGTAGTCCACAATTATCCCCTTTGTCTTGGTCACGTTGAGGGAGAGGTTGTTATCGTGGCACCACACGGCCAGGTCTCTGACCTCCTCCCTATAGGCTGTCTCATCGTTGTCTGTGATCAGGCCTACCACTGTTGTGTCGTCAGCAAACGTAATGATGGTGTTGGAGTCGTTCCTGGCCATGCAGTCATGGGTGAACAGGGAGTACAGGAGGGGACTGAGCACGCACCCCTGAGAGGCCCCCGTGTAGAGGATCAGTGTGGCAGATACGTTGTTACCTACCATTACCACCTGGGGGCGGCCCGTCAGGAAGTCCAGGATCCAGTTGCAGAGGGAGGTGTTTAGTCCCATGATCCTTACCTTAGTGATGAGCTTTGAGGGCACTATGGTGTTGAATGCTGAGCTGTAGTCAATGAATAGCATTCTCACGTAGGTGTTCCTCTTGTCCAGGTGGGAAAGGGCAGTGTGGAGTGCAATAGAGATTGCATCATCTGTGGATCTGTTGGGGCGGTATGCAAATTGGAGTGTGTCTAGGGTTTCTGGGATAATGGTGTTGATGTGAGCCATGACCAGCCTTTCAAAGCACTTCATGGCTACAGACGTCAGTGCTACGGGTCGGTAGTCATTTAGGCAGGTTATCTTAGAGTCCTTGGGCACAGGGACTATGGTGGTCTGCTTGAAACATGTTGGTATTACAGACTCAGTCAGGGACATGTTGAAAATGTCAGTGAAGACATTTGCCAGTTGGTCAGCACATGCTCGGAGTACACGTCCTGGTAATCCGTCTGGCCCTGCGGCCTTGTGAATGTTGACCTGCTTAAAAGCCTTGCCACGTCCGACGAGCGTCGGAGCCGGTGTAGTACGATTCAATTTTAGTCCTGTATTGACGCTTTGCCTGTTTGATATTTCGTCGGAGGGCATAGTTGGATTTCTTATAAGCGTCCGGATTAGTGTCCCACTCCTTGAAAGCAGGCAGCTCTACCCTTTAGCTTAGTGCGGATGTTGCCTGTAATACATGGCTTCTGGTTGGGGTATGTACATACGGTCACTGTGGGGACGACGTCATCAATGCACTTATTGATGAAGCCAGTGACTGATGTGGTGTACTCCTCAATGCCATCGGAAGAATCCCGGAACACATTCCAGTCTGTGCTAGCAAAACAGTCCTGTAGCGTAGTATCCGCGTCATCTGACCACTTCCATATTGAGCGAGTCACTGGTACTTCCTGCTTTAGTTTTTGCTCGTATGCAGGAATCAGGAGGATGGAATTATGGCCAGATTAGCCAAATGGAGGGCGAGGGAGAGCTTTGTACGCGTCTCTGTGTGTGGAGTAAAGTTGGTCTAGAGGTTTATTTCCTCTGGTTGCACATGTGACATGCTGGTAGAAATGAGGTAAAATGGATTTAAGTTTGCCTGCCGCTTCTGGATGAGCAAAACACCATTTGTAGACACGTCTGAAATTGTGGACTCAATCAGAATGAGGGCAAGATCAGGAAACAGGATACATGTTAGAACCAGGTATAAACAAGGCTTTAGAACCAACACCCATCTTTCTAGGAATGAATTACCTGAATATCATTAGCTCATATAAACATCACACTTGACACAAACAACAGAGTTGATGGAGAAATAGATGGCAATCTTTATTAATCATTCTGTTTTACTTCATATAAAGCAATAAAGTACTCCAGCTTCTTTGCCTTTTTGGATCCACACTTCACAATACAGTGTACAATAAATAATTATATTTACTATTTAAATTAGATCGTGAACATTTACCAACCCCCCCATCCCCCCCCCCACACACACACACACACTTTCATAAGAAGCTTTTTTTTCTCCAAAAATAATAAAGCAGACAATAAAACCACATAAATGTATTGATTATTTACATTATATTACAGATCCACACTGGGTGTTATCATGCAGGTTTTAAATGTGTTGATGATGGAATTCACTAGAGAATGGTGGTTGAATGGAGGTACTGTATTTTCCAATGACTTCTTTTAGATTTCTTACATTTTTAGTAATTTAGCAGATGCTCTTATCCAGAGCTACTTACAGTTAGTGAGTGCATACATTTTTGGAATCGAACCCACAACCCTGGCGTTGCAAATGCCATGCTCTACCAACTGAGATACAGCCACATCCCTGCCGGCCATTCCCTCCCCTACCCTGGACGACGCTGGGCCAATTGTGCGCCGCCCCCCCCATGGGTCTCCCGGTCGCGGCCGGCTACGACAGAGCCTTTACTGTTAGATTGGTGAGGGAGAAAAGAAAGGAACATTAACTTCCATTTATCAGCAGTGACACAGCATGAAGACCTTACAAACAACACATAAATACATTTTTTACAGTATTGCAGTCACATGGTACCTTGTGGTCTAACATAAAACTTACCATTATCCTAGTATCATAGATATTCTTGGAGTCCTGTATTTCATAATTAGAGATAAAAAAATGGCATTACATAAAAGGCAACAGCCACACCAACAGTTGCCATGACAAAATATGAAACCAAAGTCCTAAAAACTTTGATAGTGATCATATGTTAATGATTACATGAAAGGGCCAGAGACTGAAGTGCCATAACAAAAACTTCCTGGAGAAGACTGTCATAACCAAACAGTCTTGGCATACAGTATTTTTTAACACTGTACATCAGCAAAGTTATCCTGGTTATTACAGTAAGTCTGTAATAGAATACAGACGTGCACAGACACATCCCAGGTGACCAGGTCTTACTTACTGTCAGGGGTAAAGGTGGAGATTGATTTTGTCTTGTGTTCTCATACACAGGTGATGGGTTCTCATATACATGTTGCTGAGAGCCTGTAGAAGATGCACAAGTAAAGGGGGTTGCACAGATGCTGATATTTTGTTATAATTAGGAAGGTGTCCTTAATTAACTCAGTCAGTGAGTGTACAAAACATGGTGTTACTAGATCATGTAATTTATCTGAATTCATTTTTCTGTGGAAACTGTAAGTTGCTCTGGATAAGAGTGTGTGCTAAATGATTAAGGGCTCTATTCAATCAGATCTGCTTTAGCCAACATCCACATTATGGTTGGTTTAAGCGGTGTCGGGTTGGAACTGCATTAGAGCTGTCAAATCCACAAGCGGCTCCTTGCATTATACCTAAAGCGAACATTGCCATTGGCTGCACGGAGTTGCATTAAGAGAAATCCCATGCAGCCTTCTTTACAAATTCGAGCACTGGAATGGGAGATATAATCTACACCTGGATTAGGCTGATAAAAATCCTCAAATATTTTAATGATTTTCAATTTGAGTCATTATTTCTATATAGCCTACACTTTCTCGTTCTGAACTTCTAACGTGAGTGGGATGAGTGTGGCTTTGTGACAATGATCACAAGAGCAGCTGCTTACCAATTTCACAGCTCCAACGCAGTTACACCTCCAACCTGCCAAAACATCAGCTAGGCGGGTGTTGGCTATCACCGGTTAATGCTTCATCTGATTGAATCTAGGCCTAAAATGTCAATGTAAATGTGGAGTAAACAAACATAAATACACTGCTCAAAAAAATAAAGGGAACACTAAAATAACACATCCTAGATCTGAATGAATGACATAATCTTATTAAATACTTTTTTCTTTCATAGTTGAATGTGCTGACAACAAAATCACACAAAAATTATCAATGGAAATCACATTTATCAACCCATGGAGGTCTGGATTTGGAGTCACCCTCAAAATTAAAGTGGAAAACCACACTACAGGCTGATCCAACTTTGATGTAATGTCCTTAAACAAGTCAAAATGAGGCTCAGTAGTGTGTGTGGCCTCCACATGCCTGTATGACCTCCCTACAACGCCTGGGCATGCTCCTGATGAGGTGGCGGATCGTCTCCTGAGGGATCTCCTCCCAGACCTGGACTAAAGCATCCGCCAACTCCTGGACAGTCTGTGGTGCAACGTGGCGTTGGTGGATGGAGCGAGTCATGATGTCCCAGATGTGCTCAATTGGATTCAGGTCTGGGGAACGGACGGGCCAGTCCATAGCATCAATGCCTTCCTCTTGCAGGAACTGCTGACACACTCCAGCCACATGAGGTCTAGCATTGTCTTGCATTAGGAGGAACCCAGGGCCAACCGCACCAGCATATGGTCTCACAAGGGGTCTGAGGATCTCATCTCGGTACCTAATGGCAGTCAGGCTACCTCTGGCGAGCACATGGAGGGCTGTGCGGCCCCCCAAAGAAATGCCACCCCACACCATGACTGACCCACCGCCAAACCGGTCATGCTGGAGGATGTTGCAGGCAGCAGAACGTTCTCCACGGCGTCTCCAGACTCTGTCACGTCTGTCACATGTGCTCAGTGTGAACCTGCTTTCATCTGTGAAGAGCACAGGGCGCCAGTGGCGAATTTGCCAATCTTGGTGTTCTCTGGCAAATGCCAAACGTCCTGCACGGTGTTGGGCTGTAAGCACAACCCCCACCTGTGGACGTCGGGCCCTCATACCACCCTCATGGAGTCTGTTTCTGACCGTTTGAGCAGACACATGCACATTTGTGGCCTGCTGGAGGTCATTTTGCAGGGCTCTGGCAGTGCTCCTCCTGCTCCTCCTTGCACAAAGGCGGAGGTAGCAGTCCTGCTGCTGGGTTGTTGCCCTCCTACGGCCTCCTCCATGTCTCCTGATGTACTGGCCTGTCTCCTGATAGCGCCTCCATGCTCTGGACACTACGCTGACAGACACAGCAAACCTTCTTGCCACAGCTCGCATTGATGTGCCATCCTGGATGAGCTGCACTACCTGAGCCACTTGTGTGGGTTGTAGACTCCGTCTCATGCTACCACTAGAGTGAAAGCACCGCCAGCATTCAAAAGTGACCAAAACATCAGCCAGGAAGCATAGGAACTGAGAAGTGGTCTGTGGTCACCATCTGCAAAACCATTCCTTTATTGGGGGTGTCTTGCTAATTGCCTATAATTTCCACCTGTTGTCTATTCCATTTGCACAACAGCATGTGAAATGTATTGTCAATCAGTGTTGCTTCCTAAGTGGACAGTTTGATTTCACAGAAGTGTGATTGACTTGGAGTTACATTGTGTTGTTTAAGTGTTCCCTTTATTTTTTTGAGCAGGGTATATATATATATAATTAGACATAGCCGCGGGAAGTAGTTTGGGGCGGGGTACAGAATAAAAATTGGTGCCCGTGCTGAAGGTCTATATTCGTCGCTAATACAGGACTAGTAAATGCCCAGTGCACTACTTTTGTGATTTTTAAAAAAACTACATGTTTTGAGTTTTACCAGCATTTGTAACTTGAGTCTGATAATATCTGTACAAACAGTTAATCTGATAATACTGTGGATATCAAATAATTGCTGATATATTTTTCTAGTTTCTTGAAATACTTTGCAAAGGCAACTTATTTTGTGAAGCTGAATGATCTATTCATTCTTTTAGTAGATGCTCTAACCAGAGCACCCACAGCAGTGAGTGCAACATTTCATACTGGTCCCTGAGGCATCAAACCACAACCCTAGCACTGTAAGCGACATGCATGCCCTCATACCACTGAGCCTTCACATGAGCACTTAGTTAAGCGTGGGTAAAGTCCGGGTTGGAACTGCCCATTAGACTGTCAACCAAAACGGCTCCTGTTTACTAAAGCGAACATTGCCATTGGCTGCACGGAGTTGCTTAAGAAAATCCATGCAGCCTTCTTTACAAATTCGAGCCTGGAAGGGGAAGATATAATCTACACCTGGATTAGGCTGATAAAAATCCCTCAATATTTTTAATGATTTTCAATTTGAGTCATTATTTCTATATAGCCTACATTTTTCTCTTTCTGAACTTCTAACTGAGTGGGATGAGTGTGGCTTTGTACAATGATCACAAAGAAGCTGGTTTTACCAATTTCACAGCTCCAACGCAGTTACACCTCCAACCTGCCAAAACATCAGCTAGGCGGGTGTTGGCTATCACCCGGTTTAAATGCTTCATCTGATTGAATCTAGGCCTAAAATGTCAATGTAAATGTGGAGTAAACAAACATAAATACACTGCTCAAAAAATAAAGGAACACTAAATAACCATCCTAGATCTGAATGAATGACATAATCTTATTAAATCTTTTTCTTTCATAGTTGAATGTGCTGACAACAAAAATCACACAAAAAATTATCAATGGAAATCACATTTATCAACCCATGGAGGTCTGGATTTGGAGTCACCCTCAAAATTAAAGTGGAAAACCACACTACAGGCTGATCCAACTTTGATTGTAATGTCCTTAAACAAGTCAAAATGAGGCTCAGTAGTGTGTGTGGCCTCCACATGCCTGTATGACCTCCCTACAACGCCTGGGCATGCTCCTGATGAGGTGGCGGATCGTCTCCTGAGGGATCTCCTCCCAGACCTGGACTAAAGCATCCGCCAACTCCTGGACAGTCTGTGGTGCAACGTGGCGTTGGTGGATGGAGCGAGTCATGATTGTCCCAGATGTGCCTCAATTGGATTCAGGTCTGGGGAACGGACGGGCCAGTCCATAGCATCAATGCCTTCCTCTTGCAGGAAACTGCTGACACACTCCAGCCACATGAGGTCTAGCATTGTCTTGCATTAGGAGGAACCCAGGGCCAACCGCACCCAGCATATGGTCTCACAAGGGGTCTGAGGATCTCATCTCGGTACCTAATGGCAGTCAGGCTACCTCTGGCGAGCACATGGAGGGCTGTGCGGCCCCCCCAAAGAAATGCCACCCCACACCATGACTGACCCACCGCCAAACCGGTCATGCTGGAGGATGTTGCAGGCAGCAGAATGTTCTCCACGGCGTCTCCAGACTCTGTCACGTCTGTCACATGTGCTCAGTGTGAACCTGCTTTCATCTGTGAAGAGCACAGGGCGCCAGTGGCGAATTTGCCAATCTTGGTGTTCTCTGGCAAATGCCAAACGTCCTGCACGGTGTTGGGCTGTAAGCACAATCCCCACCTGTGGACGTCGGGCCCTCATACCACCCTCATGGAGTCTGTTTCTGACCGTTTGAGCAGACACATGCACATTTGTGGCCTGCTGGAGGTCATTTTGCAGGACTCTGGCAGTGCTCCTCCTGCTCCTCCTTGCACAAAGGCGGAGGTAGCAGTCCTGCTGCTGGGTTGTTGCCCTCCTACGGCCTCCTCCATGTCTCCTGATGTACTGGCCTGTCTCCTGATAGCGCCTCCATGCTCTGGACACTACGCTGACAGACACAGCAAACCTTCTTGCCACAGCTCGCATTGATGTGCCATCCTGGATGAGCTGCACTACCTGAGCCACTTGTGTGGGTTGTAGACTCCGTCTCATGCTACCACTAGAGTGAAAGCACCGCCAGCATTCAAAAGTGACCAAAACATCAGCCAGGAAGCATAGGAACTGAGAAGTGGTCTGTGGTCACCATCTGCAAAACCATTCCTTTATTGGGGGTGTCTTGCTAATTGCCAATAATTTCCACCTGTTGTCTATGCCATTTGCACAACAGCATGTGAAATGTATTGTCAATCAGTGTTGCTTCCTAAGTGGACAGTTTGATTTCACAGATGTGTGATTGACTTGGAGTTACATTGTGTTGTTTAAGTGTTCCCTTTATTTTTTTGAGCAGGGGTATATATATATATAATTAGACATAGCCGCGGGAAGTAGTTTGGGGCGGGGGTACAGAATAAAAAATGGTGCCCGTGCTGAAAGGTCTATATTCGTCCGCTAATACAGGACTAGTAAATGCCCAGTGCACTACTTTTGTGATTTTTAAAAAACTACATGTTTTTGAGTTTTTACCAGCATTTGTAACTTGAGTCTGATAATTATCTGTACAAAACAGTTAATCTGATAATACCTGTGGAATATAAAAATACTTGCTTGATATATATTTTCTAGTTTCTTGAAATACTTTGCAAAGGCAACTTATTTTATGTGAAAGCTGAAATGATCTATTCATTCCTTTTAGTAGATGCTCTTAACCAGAGCAACCCACAGCAGTGAGTGCATACATTTTCATACTGGTCCCCTGAGGCAATCAAACCCACAACCCTAGCACTGTAAGCGACATGCTCTACCAACTGAGCCATATCATCACATCACATCATCACAAACCACTTGATGTCCTTTGATTCCCTTGGAGAGTTCATCAATGAGCTTGACGCCTTGATAGGTTCCTTTCCTGAGGATGGCTCACAGTTCTGGGGGACTTTAACCTCCCTACATATACCTTTGACTCATTTCTCTCTGCCTCCTTCTTTCCACTCCTTTCCTCTTTTGACCTCACCCTCACACCGTCCCCCCCTACTCACAAGGCAGGCAATACGCTTGAACTCATCTTTACTAGATGCTGTTCTTCTACTAATCCGTCGCAACCTTCGCTCTCTCTCTCCCGCTACTCTCTCCTCTTCCATCCTATCATCTCTTCCCTCTGCTAAATCCTTCTCCCTCCAATCTCCTGATTCTGCCTCCTCAACCCTCCTCTCCTCCCTCTCTGAATCTTTTGATTCTCTATGTCCCCTATCCTCCCGGCCGGCTCGGTCCTCCCCTCCTGCTCCGTGGCTTGACGATTCATTGCGAGCTCACAGAACAGGGCTCCGGGCAGCCGAGCGGAAATGGAGGAAAACTAGACTCCCTGCGGACCTGTCATCTTTCCACTCCCTCCTCTCTACATTCTCTTCCTCCTTTTCTGCTGCTAAAGCCACTTTCTACCACTCTATATTTCAAGCCTCTGCCTCTAACCCTAGGAAGCTCTTTGACACCTTCTCCTCCCTGCTGAATCCTCCTCCTCCCCCTCCCTCCTCCCTCTCTGTGGATGACTTCGTCAATCATTTTCAAAAGATGGTTGACGACATCCGATCCTCATTTAATAAGTCAAATGACACTGCTGGTCCTGCTCACACTGCCCTACCCTATGCTTTGACTTCTTTCTCCCCTCTCTCTCCAGATGAAATCTTGCGACTTGTGACGGCCGGCCGCCCAACAACCTGCCCGCTTGACCCTATCCCCTCCTCTCTTCTCCAGACCATTTCTGGAGACCTTCTCCCTAACCTCATCTCGCTCATCAACTCATCCTGTCCGCTGGCTATGTTCCTTCCATCTTCAAGAAAGCGAGAGTTGCACCCCTCCTCAAAAAACCTACACTCGATCCCTCCGATGTCAACAACTACAGACCAGTATGCCTTCTTTCTTTTCTCTCCAAAACTCTTGAGTGTGCCGTCTATAGCCAACTCTCCTGCTATCTCTCTCAGAATGACCTTCTTGATCCAAACCAGTCAGGTTTCAAGACTGGTCATTCAACTGAGACTGCTCTTCTCTGTGTCACGGAGACTCTCCGCACTGCTAAAGCTAACTCTCTCTCCTCTGCTCTCATCCTTCTAGACCTATCTGCTGCCTTTGATACTGTGAACCATCAGATCCTCCTCTCCACCCTCTCCGAGTTGGGCATCTCCGGTGCGGCTCACTCTTGGATTGCGTCCTACCTGACAGGTCGCTCCTACCAGGTGGCGTGGTGAGAATCTGTTTCCGCACCATAAAAAAACAATTTGTAAAGTGGTTGTCCCACTGGCTATCATAAGGTGAATGCACCAATTTGTAAGTCGCTCTGGAAAAAAGCGTCTGCTAAATGACGTAAATGTAAATGTAAATGTCTCAATGTACTCAATTACTGTGCATTGTTTTTCTTCATGGTGATGGAAAGTCTACACGTACAAACTTCGATGACCAGGCTATGTACAATACAGTAATGTAAATTTACATTAAGTGGTTCGTAAGCATGGTAAATTAATACTTCACAAAAAGTGGTTGTTTTCCATGTTATTTGATCAAGAAAAATATTTAATTTGATGTGGATGTTTGGTGTCTTTGCCCATTACTTTGCACCTTTTGATGCACCTTTTGATGTAAATGTTTGAGGACAGGATTTTGTTCTTTCTGTATTCCATTAGAATGACAATCACAGAGAAAGGGACAGGGCAACAACTCTTACAATTCCAACTATTGAATCCTGCAAGATACTGTTCTTAATTATAAAACTACCTTTTCTGCCAAAGCAGAGATGCTGAAAACATATTTTTGCCGGCGCTACCGACATCTATATTTGTCCGCTAATACTAGTAAAGGGCCAGTGTAATACCTTTGTGATTAAAAAATATATCATATTTTTTTGTATTTATTCTGATTTTTCAGGGGTGATGCAGCACCCTCAGCACCCCTACTTCCCACGGCTATGTAGTTAGATATGCCTGTAAGATTTAATATACAGTACAGTATGCGGTTACCTCCTTGATGGACTGGGTCAGCATTGGTTCTGAATGCAACAAGAAATAAACAATGAAAGGTTACTGTTTAGAAAATTAAAAGAACGTAATATTACAGTGCGTTTAACAGTTTACAGTAAAGTTATAAGAACATAATATTACAATGCGTTTAACAGTTTACAGTGCTTTTGAAATACATACAGGTCATATTTGTGACCAGTTTTGTTCAATGTGAACAGTGAGCCTAAATGTTCTACTAACTGCAGGGAAGTTTCTTAACTCACCCGTTTTTCCTAATGAAGAAGACTGAAACACCAACTGCCACTCCCACAACCAGCAACCCTCCAAACACAATCCCAGCGATGGCACCAGAAGACAGTCCATCTGGTGATAAAGAGCCCTCCACTGAAGAGACCAGAGAGAGAATCATGTAGAGACGAGAGAAAGGCTGCAGACAACAAGCAGTACTACACAATACAGTGCAAATGGGTGACATCTGCTAAATGATTAAAATGTCAATGTAAAGACACTAGTTGAAAACAACTTTTAAATGCAAAACTTCATAAGTAGAACTTTAACTATATATTGATTATGTAAATTATTGTCTTTAAAGCTTCAGGTAACTTTACCTTTTACTGACAGTTTATGAACCTCAGATGTTTTGATTCTAGTGACATCATTTGTTGCTGTACAGGTGTAATCCCCACTGTCAGACTATTCACTCTTCTCTTTAGGGAACTCAGGTGAATGTCCAGGTATCTCTGTTCCATTGAGCATCCAGGTGTAGTTGGCAGGTGGGTTGGAGTCAGCAGAGCAGGTCAATGTAAACTTCTGTCCTACTTCTATTTCAGTTGGACCCTTGATTTCCATACCATCAGGTCCATCTGTAACACAGAGATCACCTGTTAGTCATAGCTACAAGTGTATTAGTTTGTAATCAGTGTGACGTTGGAGTCATAATGGTTGGTGTAAAGTTTGTGTTCATTCATTGTTTTATTATTTTAATGTCCACCTATTGATGGTACAGTTGGTACATTTATCTGGTACATTTATCCCCAGGCTTATAGGGAAGTACTTACAGTTTACATTCACAGTGTCACTGGCATTTTTAGAGCTGACAGGGTTGCTGACTCCACACAGGTATTCTCCACTGTCTGTTCTATTCGCAGAGTTTATAAACAGCACTCTGTTATTCTTAGAGAAGATGATATTGTCACCAGAAGACAGAGGCTGACCATCCATCATCCACTCTCTGCTGATGATGGAGCCGGAAGCATCACATGTTAAGGTGACAGAATTCCCCTCGATGATTGGAGGATTTGGGGAAGTTGTTATGGTAGCATCAGATATTGGTTCTGTGAAGGATAATGGTTATATTATGAATCAGATAGGTTGGTTTGATAATACAGATTGTAGTCTAGATTATAATGTATATGATATATAAACACAACCAGTCATGATGTTTTCATCTTAATCTTACTGCGAGGAACACTTAATTCTGCAGAACTTAATATTAATATTATTCGAACCACCAAGACTCTTCCTAAAGCTGGCCTTGGTCTGGGAGGTAACCAAGAACCTGATGGTCATTCTGAAAGAGCTCTAGAGTTATTCTGTGGAGATGGAAGAAACTTCCAGAAGGACAACCATCTCTGCAGTTCTCTACCAATCAGGCGTTTATGGTAGATTGGCCAGATGGAAGCCACTGCTCAGTAAAAGGCAGATGAAATCCCGCTTGGAGTTTGCCAAAAGGCACCTAAAGACTCTCAGATCATGAGAAACAAGATTGTCCGGTCTGATGAAACTAAGAATGAACTGTTTGGCCTGAATGCCAAGCGTCACATCTGGAGGAAACCTGGCACCATGCCTACTGTGAAGCATGGTGGTTGCAGCTTCATGCTGTAGGGATGTTTTTCAGCGGCAGGGACTGGGAGGCTAGTCAGGATGGAGGGAAAGATGAACAGAGCAAAGTGCAGAGAGATCCTTGATGAAAACCTGCTCCAGAGTGCTCAGGACCTCAGACTGGGGTGAAGATTCACCTTGCAACAGGACAACAACCCTAAGCACACAGCCAAGACAATGCAGGAGTGGCTTCGGGACAAGTCTTTGAGTGGCCAAGTCAGAGCCCAGACTTGAACCCGATCTAACATCTCTGGAGAGACCTGAAAATAGCTGTGCAGCTACGCTCCCCCTCCAACCTGAAAGAGCTTGAGAGGATCTGCAGAGAAGAATGGGAGAAGCTCTCCAAATACAGGTGTGCCAAGCTTGTAGTATCATACCCAAGAAGACTCGATGCTGTAATCACTGTCAAAGATGCTTCAACAAAGTACTGAGTAAAGGGTCTGAATACTTATGTAAATGTTTTTTTGCTATAATCTCTAAAAACCTGTTTTTGCTTTGTCATTATAGGGTATTGTGTGTAGATTGTTGAGGGACAAAAACAATTTTTATAAATTTTAGAATAAGGCTGTAAGCTAACAAAATGTGGAAAAAGTCAAGGGGTCTGAATACTTTCCGAAGGCCCTGTAGATTGCAAGCCCTGCCACATCCAACGAGCGTCAGAGCCGGTGTAGTAGGATTCAGTCTTAGTTCTGTATTGACGATTTGCCAGTTTGACATTCATAGCATTTAATGCAAGGGAAGCCAACAAGCATTTGGCCTCCCTTGATAAAAAAGTATAAAATAATAGCCAATCAGCGTTGAGCTAATCTGAGTGAGCTCAACTGAGAATGGTCCTGGCGCACCAAAAAAAAGTGTCAAGGGAAGCCAGTTTAGATTTGGCTTCACTCCTTTCACATCGCATCGAGAGAAATACATAATTTCTCTGTTATTTCTCATAATAACAGAAAAACTTGAATTATTGCATCTGGACTTGTCGGTTTTACTTAATTCTCTGTACTGGCCAATTCATACATTGTGCCCCTGGACTGAGAGGATGGAATATGTAGCTATAGTAGATGTAGAAGGCTATTGTTAACTAGCTAAAGTTGCCCATGAAAGGAAGTTAGGCTAGCGAGCAAGCATTTTAGCTAGGTAGCCTAGGACAACAAAAAATTAAAGTGTGTACTGTAAGACAGTGTCATAGAACGTTTCGTCAACATGAAAGAGAGGAGGATGGCATTGGCGTTGCTCTATAAGTAGGGTGAGTCAACATGTTTTTTCTACTTGCATGCACACATGCACACACACATAGAACCATTGACAGCCACATCATATTTAGCTTATGTTGATTGGAATAAATTGTCTTTGGTATATTTTAGTTGTCACTGTATTAGACTAAACATAGGTGATTTGATGATGTTGAAATGTTGAAGTTGGTGCTGAATAGTGGAGGCAGCTCCTGTTTTCTTTGGGACTCGGTAACTCTCTGTTCTAAATCAATAGTTATTTAGTAGTCCGATAATGGTGGAAACATTAACTTGCTTGACCATGCTGTAGGTCATGTAACTGTTGGTTACATGCAATATGCTTTGTGGACTTCACCGGACAGAGGTTGCTCTCCGGTTTTGTAATTAAACAAATGTGAGGTTGAATTTATTCTGCCAGTGTGTCTTCTTATTGTCTCAGCCTTAGGCCTATATATCACGGTGGCAAGGCATATGAACTTATCACAACACATAGGTTGTAATATGGCATTTTTTTCTGGCTTGGCTACCCCAGTGATTTTACCCACGCACTGCTACTTGATTTAATAAAAATCCAATAGGCCTACATAGGCCGCCCTGTGCTGGTTAATGGATTCATGGAATTCTGATTGTTTACAGTTTCCATGGTGAATTATTCGTTTCACATTCATTCTAGCTACCCCACTGCCACTGGAGATACAGCATTTGTAAAACGATACATTGTTGCACAGGTCGTAGAGGCAGGCAGGTATGTTTGTACAACCCCCAACTGTTGCAAACCAAATAGTAGCATGAAAAAATAATGTGTAGATGCTTTTTTCAAAAGGCAGATGAAGTTTATCAATTTCCTTCCTGGGCGGGGGAACAGTGGAATTATAAGATTAATACGTAATGGTATATCAACCAATCAGCATCCTGGATCCAAACAACCCGTAATGTAATATATTGTCAAACAGTTATTTAAAAAAAATTAAGGTTAGAGGTAATCATGTTGGGTGGCTTGGGTGTACAGCACAGGAGGTTGGTGGCACCTTAATTGGGGAGGACGGGCTCGTGGTAATGGCTGGAGCGGAAAAAGTGGAATGGTATCAAATACATCAAACACATGGTTTCCAGGTGTTTGATGCCCTTCCATTCGCTCCGTTCCAATCATTAGTATTAGCCTTCCTCCCCTCAGCAGCCTCCTGTGATATACGGTATACACTACAGTATCAACTAATAATCCAATGCTATCTGCTATGTCAAATGTGCCACTCAGAGCTCTCTTCTCATGTGTTAAACACACCATCTCTGTTGAAAGGGCCTTCTCTGCTACATACAGAAGAAGGTGTCCAGTCCAAACGCTTTTACAAAATGGAAGGAAAGGGAAAAGGTGTACTCAAACATCTTGGATAGGACTTGAGCACAAACCTCAAGCATTTCAGTCAGTTCCACCATGACACCCCAGAACCAGTTTCCCTTTCCTCCCATGACTGTCTCCTTCTCCTCTCTACCACTTACCCAGCACAGTGATGTCAGAGGGCTCAGGTGTCTGGTACCTCAGGGTATCTGGTATTATGGGCCCAGCAGCTGTAGCTACCGCTCTGACTGGCCTGGATGTTCTCCAGCCTGAGTTCTGGTCCCTTATTGGACAGCAGCGTTCCATTCATAGCCCACTGAAACTGGGCAGGAGGACTGGACTCAGAGGAGCAGGACAGAGTGAGGTTTGACCCTGATCCATACAGTACATCTGGAGGGGTCACCTTCATTCTTGCCTTTTCTGGACCATCTGTAATGAATGGTCCATGTAAAAACGCCACCATTAAAGAGGGGAAGTTGACCAACAGATACTTTCTAGACCATGTTAATGACCCATTGGACCATTTATTATTATTATGGGTCCATGTTATCAATATTGTGTATCTAGCTTCAGTGTCCCATCACCACCAACCACACAATCAGTCACCCAGCACGCACAATAGTGATGACAGCTTAGGGACAAAACATTTTAAAATGACCCATGAAGACCATTGAGGCATGCCACAGAATGGGAACATATTTTTAAAGCATGATGTGTTAATGATACAGTATATGAAGCAAGGAAAACATCTTCATGGCCTTAAAGGATTGGTTTTGGCTATTTTTGATGTAAATTGCATGCTAAAGAAAGGGTGTTGTACACATGAAATTGTGTAATTTCTAACTTTATCCATAACGTTATATTCTACTTTGTGCGACTCAAGCTATTTCCCCCTACCAGCTGTGTTGCTTGTCCGTGTAGCATGCGCAGCACAGCTGGTTAGGGGGAAACCACTCGAGTCGCACCAAATGGAATATTACTGTCACGTCCAGTCCCACTGTCACGTCCACTCCCGCTCCCCAGCTCAGGCGCTCAACGTCACCGGTCTACTAACCAATGGTCCTGGCAACCCATCTTTACGCACACCTGCATCTCATCATCATCAATCACACCTGGACTCCCTTGATTACCTACCTTTATATAACACTATTTTGTTATCAACTAACTGCACCTGCTTCCTGACTCCCTGCGTCTGTTACAATAATGTTGCGGATAAAGTTCAAAATTACACAATTTGTGTGTACAATATCTAAAGACCTGCATCACTATACTGAGAGCAGTGCTGTTTCTAAAAGGATGTATTTGGAGCCTATGTTCATGTTTTTCTGTAGCACCCATACTACAAAATGAGCAATGAGGAAGCCTATTGCGGGTGAGGATGGTTTATCAAAACCAAGTAAAATCGCTAAAAAAGTGTCAGGACCCTTCTATAACATGCCATTTACATAAAAAATAGAGATTTGGTAAATAAATAGTGAACCAATCCTTTAACCAAAAGCACCATATTCATCAAGCCTTGTTATTTTTAAGTAGATGCTGTTTCCGGGGAACTAAGTCAAGAGGTGACTACACAAACTACATGAAAGTGAACTATCAAAGTTGACCTAAGTGGCTCAATCAACATGCAAATAATTTAAGAGTTAGACACTCACAGCTGATGTAAAGTATTAGTGTCTCTTTGTCAGAGCTGACGGGGTTGGACACTACGCACATGAACAGCCCCCGGTTATATCGAGTCACATTGGTTATGGTGAGAGTGCTGCTCCCATCACCAAGCTGAACTCCATCACTGGCTGTGAATTCAGAGCTGCCATTCAGCCAGTGGTAAGAGAAGGGGGAGGAGCCAGAGGAGGAGCAGGACAGACTGACAGAGCTGTTGAACTCCACTAAGTCTGTGTTGTTGGGAGTTATCACCACATTGGAGACTGACTCTGTGGGTTAAAAACACAATAACAAAGCTGTACTTATAGCAGACTATTTCACCCAAAGCTACACACAATTAGCTTCACTGTTAATACACAAACTATCAAAATAGCTGAATGGAGCACATCAGAATAAGCAACATGCAAACTAGATTGACATTAACCAAGTTGAAAATAGCAACAATCTCATCCATTCCTTAAACAATTGGGCAGGAATAGGGCCATAATATCTTGATAGCTAAGTAGAGCGTCACAAGCTGATCATCTTCCTTGTTTGAGGTTAAAGGCACCATGTATTCAGTGCTTCTCAAACGCTTGCACTTTATAAATGACGCAGAGGAGAATTCTAAAGAGTTGTCACGTTCGTTTACAGACGGGTCAGACCAAGGCGCAGCGTGATATGCATACACGTTTATTTGGAACGAATAAACAAGCGACAAAACAACAAACTAAACAAACCGTGAAGTCCAAGGTACACAAACAACATACCTCACACGGAACAAGATCCCACAACTTGACAGTGCTTATAGGCTGCCTAAGTATGGTCCCCAATCAGAGACAACGAGCGACAGCTGACTCTGATTGGGAACCACACCGGCCAACATAGATATATACATACCAGAACACCAACATAGAAATACATAACATAGAACATACACACCCTGACTCAACATATACAAGTCTCCTGAGTCAGGGCGTGACGAGTGTACATTAAAAAGGGGAAATTTGGTTTGGTCCATTTTGGGGCTAACATATTGATGACTAACTACAAGCAATTAATTACAATTGTATAATATAGATTTCTGTAAAATGTCTTAGGGATATCTTTGAAACTATATACAGTACCAGTCAAAAGTTTGGACACACCTACTCATTCAAGGGTTTTCCTTTATTTTTCCTATTTTCTACATTGTAGAATAATACTGAAGACATCAAACTATGAAATAACACATATAGAATCATGTAGTAACCAAAAAAGTGTTAAACAAATCAAAATATATTTTAGATTTGAGATTCTTCAAAGCAGCCACCCTTTGCCTTGATGACAGCTTTGCACACTCTTGGCATTCTCTCAACCAGCTTCATGAGGTAGTCACCTGGAATGCATTTTAATTAACAGGTGTGCCTTCTTAAAAGTTAATTTGTGGGATTTCTTTCCTTCTTAATGCGTTTGAGCCAATCAGTTGTGTTGTGACAACGTAGGGGTGGTTTACAGAAGATAGCCCTATTAGGTAAAAGACCAAGTCCATATTATGGCAAGAACAGCTCAAATAAGCAAAGAGAAATGACAGTCCATCATTACTTTAAGACATGAAGGTCAGTCAATCCAGAAAATTCAAGAACTTTGAAAGTTTCTTCAAGTGCAGTTGCAAAAACCATCAAGCGCTATGATGAAACTGGCTCTCATGAGGATCGCCACAGGATAAGAAGACCCAGAGTTACCTCTGCTGCAGAGGATAAGTTATTTAGAGTTACCAGCCTCAGAAATTGCAGCCCAGAAAATGCTTCACAGAGTTCAAGTAACAGACACATCTCAACGTCAACTGTTCAGAGGAGACTGCGTGAATCAGGCCTTCATGGTCGAATTTCTGCAAAAAAAACACTACTAAAGGACACCAATAAGAAGAAGAGACTTGCTTGGGCCAAGAAACATGAGCAATGGAATTTAGACTGGTGGAAATCTGTCCTTTGGTCTCATGAGTCCAAATTTAAGATTTTGGGTTCCAATCGCCGTATCTTTGTGAGACGCAGAGTAGGTGAACAGATTATCTCCGCATGTGTGGTTCCCACCATGAAGCATGGAGGAGGAGGTGTGATGGTGTGGAGATACTTTGCTGGTGACACTGTCAGTGATTAATTTAGAATTCAAGGCACACTTAACCAGCATGGCTACCACAGCATTCTGCAGCAATACGCCATCCTATCTGGTTTGCACTTACTGGGACTATCATTTGATTTTAAACAGGACAATGACCCAACACACCTCCAGGCTGTATAAGGGCTATTTGACCAAGAAAGAGAGTGATGGAGTGCTGCATCAGATGACCTAGCCTCCACAATCACCCAACCTCAACCCAATTGAGATGGTTTGGGAGGAGTTGGACCGCAGAGGGAAGGAAAAGCAGCCAATAAGTGCTCAGCATATGTGGGAACTCCTTCAAGACTGTTGGAAAAGCATTCCAGGTGAAGCTGGTTGAGAGAATGCCAAGAGTGTGCAAAGCTGTCATCAAGGCAAAGGGTGGATACTTTGAAGAATCTCAAATATAAAATATATTTTGATTTGTTTAACACATTTTTGGTTACCACATGATTCCACATGTGTTACAGTGGGGAAAAAAGTATTTAGTCAGCCACCAATTGTGCAAGTTCTCCCACTTAAATAGATGGGAGAGGCCTGTAATTTTCATCATAGGTACACGTCAACTATGACAGACAAAATGAGAAATAAAAATCCAGAAAATCACATTGTAGGATTTTTAATGAATTTATTTACAAATTATGGTGGAAAATAAGTATTTGGTCAATAACAAAAGTTTCTCAATACATTGTTATATACCCTTTGTTGGCAATGACACAGGTCAAACGTTTTCTGTAAGTCTTCACAAGGTTTTCACACACTGTTGCTGGTATTTTGACCCATTCCTCCATGCAGATCTCCTCTAGAGCAGTGATGTTTTGGGGCTGTCGCTGGGCAACACAGACTTTCAACTCCCTCCAAAGATTTTCTATGGGGTTGAGATCTGGAGACTGGCTAGGCCACTCCAGGACCTTGAAATGCTTCTTACGAAGCCACTCCTTCGTTGCCCGGGTGGTGTGTTTGGGATCATTGTCATGCTGAAAGACCCAGCCACGTTTCATCTTCAATGCCCTTGCTGATGGAAGGAGGTTTTCACTCAAAATCTCACGATACATGGCCCCATTCATTCTTTCCTTTACACGGATCAGTCGTCCTGGTCCCTTTGCAGAAAAACAGCCCCAAAGCATGATGTTTCCACCCCCATGCTTCACAGTAGGTATGGTGTTCTTTGGATGCAGCTCAGCATTCTTTGTCCTCCAAACACGACGAGTTGAGTTTTTAACAAAAAGTTCTATTTTGGTTTCATCTGACCATATGACATTCTCCCAATCCTCTTCTGGATCATCCAAATGCACTCTAGCAAACTTCAGACGGGCCTGGACATGTACTGGCTTAAGCATGGGGACACGTCTGGCACTGCAGGATTTGAGTCCCTGGCGGCGTAGTGTGTTACTGATGGTAGGCTTTGTTACTTTGGTCCCAGCTCTCTGCAGGTCATTCACTAGGTCCCCCCGTGTGGTTCTGGGATTTTTGCTCACCGTTCTTGTGATCATTTTGACCCCACGGGGTGAGATCTTGCGTGGAGCCCCAGATCGAGGGAGATTATCAGTGGTCTTGTATGACTTCCATTTCCTAATAATTGCTCCCACAGTTGATTTCTTCAAACCAAGCTGCTTACCTATTGCAGATTCAGTCTTCCCAGCCTGGTGCAGGTCTACAATTTTGTTTCTGGTGTTTTTGACAGCTCTTTGGTCTTGGCCATAGTGGAGTTTGGAGTGTGACTGTTTGAGGTTGTGGACAGGTGTCTTTTATACTGATAACAAGTTCAAACAGGTGCCATTAATACAGGTAATGAGTGGAGGACAGAGGAGCCTCTTAAAGAAGAAGTTACAGGTCTATGAGAGCCAGAAATCTTGCTTGTTTGTAGGTGACCAAATACTTATTTTTCACCATAATTTGCAAATAAATTCATTAGAAATCCTACAATGTGATTTTCTGGATTTTCTTTTCTCAATTTGTCTGTCATAGTTGACGTGTACCTATGATGAAAATTACAGGCCTCTCTCATCTTTTTAAGTGGGAGAACTTGCACAATTGGTGGCTGACTAAATACTTTTTTCCCCCACTGTATTTCATAGTTTTGATGTCTTCAGTATTATTCTAAAATGTAGAAAATAGGAAAAATAAAGGAAAACCCTTGAATGAGTAGGTGTGTCAAAACTTTTGACTAGTACTCTATATATACACAGTTGATTCAGACCCCTTGAAACCCCTTCCCTTTTTCCACATTTTGTTACGTTACAGCCTTATTCTAAAATGGTTTAAATAAAATGTTTTCCTCATTCATCTACACACAATACCCCATAATGGCAAAGCGAAAACAGGTTTTTATACATTTTTGCAAATGTATTATAAATAAAAAACAGAAATACCTTATTTATATAAGTATTCAGATCCTTTGCTATGACACTCGACATTGAGCTCAGGTGCATCCTTTTCCCATTGATCATCCTTGAGATGTTTCTACAACTTGATATGAGTCCACCTCTGGTAAATTCAATTGATTGGACATGATTTGGAAAGGCACACACCTTTCCAACAGTTGACAGTTCATGTCAGAGCAAAAACCAAACCATGAGGTCGAAGGAATTGTCCATAGAGCTCAAAGACAGGATTGTGTCGAGGCACAGATCTGAGGAAGGGTACCAAAACATTTCTGATGCATTGAAGGTCCCCAAGAACACAGTTGCCACCATCATTCTTAAATGGAAGAAGTTTGGAACCACCAAGACTCTTCCTTGAGCTGTCGCTCGGCCAAACTGAGCAATCGGGGGAGAAGGGCCTTGGTCAGGGAGGTGACCAAGAACCCAATAGTCACTCTGTCAGAGCTCCAGAGTTCCTCTGTGGAGATGGGAGAACCTTAAATAAGGACAACCATCTCTGCAGCACTCCACCATTCATGCATGAATGCTAGAGTGGCCAGACTGAAGCCACTCCTCAGTAAAAGGCACATGACTGCCCACTTGGAGTTTGCCAAAAGGCACCTAAAGGCCTCTGACCATGAGAAACAATATTCTCTGGTCTGATGAAACCAAGATGGAACTTTTTGGCCTGAATGCCAAGCATCACGTCTGGAGGAAACCTGGCACCATCCCTATGGTGAAGCATGGTGGTGGCAGTATCATACTGTGGGGATGTTTTTCAGCGGC